GTGAGGTGAGGTGAGGTGAGGTGAGGTGAGGTGAGGTGAGGTGAGGTGAGGTGAGGTGAGGTGAGGTGAGGTGAGGTGAGGTGAGGTGAGGTGAGGTGAGGTGAGGTGAGGTGAGGTGAGGTGAGGTGAGGTGAGGTGAGGTGAGGTGAGGTGAGGTGAGGTGAGGTGAGGTGAGGTGAGGTGAGGTGAGGTGAGGTGAGGTGAGGTGAGGTGAGGTGAGGTGAGGTGACTGATTTTACAGTGCTAGCTGAATGAGATACCATGCCGCGGTTAAGCATGAATACCCTACTCAGAATATACTAACTCAGAGCCGACCGGTCCTTGTTATACCCATTAATTTCTGACGTCCTCCGTCATGATATTGAGCAAAACACTTCCTCACTCCAGACATAGTAAAAGATATACTACTGAATAATACTTCAGGATTCGAGGAAGGAAATGTCATACTCGGTGTGAAGGAAGACTGATAACTTGTTTTGCATTCCTAAAAGGAGCAAAAACCAAATTCTTCATGTTACGGAAATTGCATGCCTGTTCGTGTACAGTTATATGTGCTGACTTACACTGGAGCTCCTTCCTTGTTGTGTCTGGACATTAATTCGAACTTAAGCCTCCCTACATCTACATCTTCTACCAAGAAAATATGGATCGTTAAGCATACTTGTTTTACAAGGATGGTCAGTCAACCACGCTATTTGATCAAATGACGAGGTCATCTTCGACAAACCAGAATACCGTAACTAGTTCCATTTGAACTATATGGATTTTCTCCACTTCAATTGTTCCGGTTCGGTTAACAGACCAATGCAATTCATCTGAGTCAAACTTCAAAATCGTGCACCCAGCAGGATTGTACTAACATCCAATACCTTTGGATCCTGCACAGACACTGATGTCGTTGTTGTCGGTAGCGAAACGTGACCCGTTCAGGTTCTTAGTGACATCGCCAGCACCACCAAAACCATCCAGATAGGTAAATGCTTCACGAGCTGAAAGTTTATATTATCAGCTCCCGTTGCTGCATCATGCGTTTGCTCAAGGGTAGCGTGAAGCTCGTGTAGAGAAAATAGTTCATTATTGTCCCCGCCATTGTTTGAGTTCAAATTAATTCTTTCTCCTGTTTATTATTATACGATATTTATATAACGCACATATCCAGGCAACTAGTGCTTGCTCAAGGCACTGGTATTTTCTCCCTCGTTCATTAGATGTCAGTCTCAACGGCACATCGTGTTATCAATCTCAACTCCCTGGGGAGTATACAACTCTTGCAGCAACTAGCCGCACCGAGTTATTGTGGCTTTCCCATCCTAACGAGGTACCCATGCACAGCTGGGTGGACTGGGACACATAGTCACAGTACGTTGTCCAAGTTCACTGCAAGTTGCTGTACCCGCAACTAGGTGTTTGCACGTATTCATGTGGCCACCATCTGGTCATATACCAACGGATTCGTGGGTTCTTTTACGTGCACAGGGTTGTGTAATGTACACTTGGGGTTGTGACAACAATGAAAGAGTCTGCACACAAAGATGACTCCAAGGTTTTCACACCCGGTCACAGGTGGACCCGATCCCGACACCTCATTCTCGCTGGATCACTAACCTGTCGCCTTAGCCAGCTCGCCCACCTCCGTGTTTATGATGTTTCTGAAACTCAGGGACATAGTTGGAAGAAGACGTATGCTTGGCGAGAGTCTCACCAAGTTTGTTGGCAATATCAGCTGTGTCAGTTAATAAGTTGTCACCGTCCTTCAAAATTTTGAACCTTTGCCTGTATTCGTTTGACCATGTTCCACACCTTTGAAACTGGTGTGCGTGAATTTATTTTGGAAACATATTTTCGCCAAGGCTGACGCTTACTCTGTTTAAATACACGTCGAGCCTATTTATGTTTACGCCACTGAAATTCTGAACTGTAGGATGCCGGAGAAAGTACTTCTCTGCCTTCTTTCTACACTTCCTGGCCTGTTTGCCATCGTCAGTAAACCATGGTTTACGAACGTGTGGTGTCGTAGAGAACCTAGGAATAGTTTCATCAGCTATTTTATTCAGTTTGTCCGAGAACAACTGAATAGCATCCATAGCAATGGCGAAACAGTAATACTTCAGTTCGTCAGTACACAATGTCTGAAATAAAGGCCACTTGGTCTTATTGAAATTCCGCCTTGTTGCGGGAGGATCATCATTAGGGTTTATACCGGAAAGTTTTGTGGGAAAATGGCCACTTCCACATAGGTTATCGTAGACTGATCATTTAAATTCGTTACAAATATATGGATCTGTTAGCGACCGATCACGTGCAGAAGGTAACGGGTTATTTCATCCCAAACACGTTCATGATCACCCCAGGCTGTTTCACCCGGGTCGTTTCATCCCATACTTTTCACACCATTAAGAGGTTGTTTCGCCCCAGCAAATAATTACTATTATCAACTATACAATAGCTTCAATATTGTATTCATCTATGTATAGTGTCGAAACAGCATATTCAGATTGTTTGAATAATTGTATCAGTTCATATTGGCTGCGTTGGATCGGGATCGGAAGTCCTTCGGTGACGATATCAAGTAGCTGTCTTGGACAGGAATGAACTTGTTCCTTGTCTATGCACTGTGTCGAGAGGTTAAGAAGCTTATCGTGGCTCTTCTTGAATATCTGCCTATTGCATTGTCTCTTGATAGAAGGACATTCTGACCAGGCGCATTTAGGTTTTCACTTGGTCAGCCTTACATCTCAGGAGTGGCACAAGAATATATAACGGCAATCCAGCACCGACTCAAATTTATTCATGGGGTATTTAAAAGGTGTCAGTTAAACGTTATTTATCAATGGGTATTAAGTATATAAGGGATGGGCCCATACGAGCACTGTGTACTAGCATGCATGCAACATTCTTATCAAACAGCTGTTATGGCCAAGTATTATCTGCGCCGCATGTTCTGTGTTGATGGCGATGACTAGTTTCACGAGAATAGAAGCGCCGCCAGTGGCTTTATCACTTAAAGCTGAGAATGAATTACATGAATTGTACCGACACAAGTCAACTGTATGTACACTTTTCAGGGATGTCTCTGTAAAATTTTCAAGTAGTGTGGTCCTGTCAGTCAGTGATATCCTCGTGAAGCGTCCTACAATCACCGTCTCATGCTGGGCCCTGGCCACACCTCCAGCGTGATTGTCCCCTACCATGGATATGGCAGGTAGCTCAGAGTGGACCCCTGGTGTCTGATCCTGTCCTCGGTCATCTTGAATCCCACGACCCCCCTGTACTCTTTTCTCTCGTGGCTCCTGTACAAGTTATTTCCCATGTGATACAAACTTGTGTTAGTGTGTAACACATGTTATATTTGGGATTACACTTTCTCAGTAAAGTACAGATTCTAGTACTTTGGTTGGCTTGTGTGAGACCCATCCGGAATTCGAACCCACACCCTCAGAATCAGGCACCTCATCGCCAGCACATAAAGTGTACCTTCATACCCTTTTAGCCACCACGGCTTCCACAACAATGGGAGTCGGATAACTGGTAGTCTTGACCACCGGCTTTGTGTACCCCTCTGATATGTGTAAATTGGCACAGCTCCCACGGCCGAAGATTTGAATACACAATGCTATTTGGAAAGTGGTCAAATGTAACACATGCCGTATTTGGGATTACACTTTCTGAATAAAGTACAGATTCTAGTACTTTTGTGAGGTTGAGTCCCATGCGGTATTAGAACCTACACCTCAGAGCCAAGCACCTAATCGCCCTGGATGGGATCTATGTCCAGTCGATGACACTTAGTCAGTTCTCAATCCTGAAGCAGAAATGGTTATAGTTGAAAGTGCCTGTTTTCCCAGCTATGGAATGATGTAAATAATCGTAAAGGAGAGTTAAGGACCCATAGATTGATCCATCTAGCGCCTGATCTCTGTGTCTTGACAAATGTTATCCATAGGAAGACTAGACGATGCCTAGCACTTTTAACGCAGTGGCAATCTCCCCATTACCACAGAAAAATTAGGTACATTTGTCCTCTTGTTCCTTACAGGATGGAACTTCAGTCGAGACCAAGGTCCACCATCAACTGACTGGTACATTTAAGATGAAATTCTTCAAAGCCATTTAGAAGTTGGTGTAGTAAAACAAGACAAATTTTATGGTTAACAACATCTTGATTTATTTTTCACAACATTTCTGAGCTAGTTCTTGCCACCTGAAAGAGGTCCACCTTTTAACTGATTGGCCCGTGAAGGTCGGGGTTAGAATGAGCCTTCAGTAACCCATGCTTGTCGTAAGAGGCGACAAACGGAATCGGGTGGTCAGGCTCGCTGGCTTGGTTGACACATGTCATCGGTTCCCAGTTGCGCAGATCGATGCTCATACTGTTGATCACTGGATTGTCTGGTCCAAAGTCGATTATTTACAGAGCTGGAATATTGCTGAGTGCGGTGTAAAACTAAACTCACTCAAATTTAACTGGTACATTTAAGGTGGTTCACGTTGTGACGTTATGAGTGCTGTGAATGAATGAATGTCGCATTATTTTCAGCTGAGAAATGTATTGCTTTATTCACATGTGAATACAGCTGATACTATCGTCGTAAATTAACTGTTCAAATGCTCAAATGGTGCTTGGCACTCACGTAATAGTTTGTCCTATTCATTACATGTTGTTGTTTGTTAGTATGCTAGGGAGAAGTAGCATTCTTTTTTGGGGTTGATATATGTAACGTGTAAGTGTAGTGAGGGTGGCGTAAAAGACACTTTTCTCTGTGTGTAGGTGACAGCGTGTGTGGGGAGGGCGTCTCATTTGGTTTCGTGAAGCCTACTGGTTCAAGCGATTGCACGTCAGAATACCCAGGTTCGATTCCCCACATGAGTACAATGCTTGAAGCCTATTTCTGGTGTCCCCGTCCTGATATTGCTGGAATATTGTTAACACGTGTGCACTCATCCACTCGCTCACTGTAACTAGTGTGTTCCAAGAAGTAACTGAGAACAAAAACTTTTCGTTTGCAATTCACGTTATGATATCTACCGATTAGGACAAGTTTCTAACAACACCAAGCATTAGGGCAGATCTTTTGGCTGTTCTTGGCATTTTCCAGTCTTTAACCACTCTTTCATATCTGTGTAATGCGTTGTTGTAATATTACCATGTAACTTGGCACACAGCTGACACCTCCAATCAAAGTTCGTTCTTTCTGAGTTAATGTATGCATACTTGTGCTTCTTTTGCAGAATATCACCAATAGCTGTCTCGTTTCTCTCCAAATATCTGATATAATTTGCCAAACTCTTGGGACTGTCAAAGGATGCCGTGTTGATGAAGGTTCCTTCTGGTAGAAGACGTGTATAGTCAGCGCCTCCACGAACGATGGGAATAGCTGAAGTCATGAACGTGTTGTAAAACTTTTCTGTGATATAGTCTTTACAAAGGGAATTTTCAAACGAAAGGTAAAACCTATACGTTGTGTTTAACAGGCCAAAACAATCGAAGGACCTTTCTTTGGGGCAGTCAAAACTCTTGTTATGTCTGCAGGCACCATAGATGTCAACATCAATATATTTTTGCAGTTCCTTCACATACACTTCCCTCTTTGACGGTGTACCACAGTTACTAACAAACCATGCTACTGATCTGCTTTTTCGTCTTAGAACATCACGTATATTCACAGTGCCTCCTGTATACAAGATCCTATTGTAAGGAAAGGGTATATCCGAATCCAGGCGGTACGTCAATGTCCAGTTAAAACGTCCATTCCAGTCAGAACGGAAAATCGTGTTTGAATCATAGTGAAGAGGTGCTTCCCACCCATACATAATCCACACCTGGTTCATGTTGGTGTTTGGGTGTTTTGATGAAGGCAAATTAACGCCATTGACAATCACAGCATCCGCAGATGAAATGTGTGCCTCGTTCGTACTTATTTCACACGAACGAAGGTAACAGTGGTCAAAGGACTTTACAGTCTTGTACCAAGATGGGACGTTCATCCACACAATACGTTTCCGCGTTTCGTAACCTGCTGAAGTAATGTTCACACTCCGTCTATGAAGCACGAGAGGATGCTTGAGAGACACCTCAAAGAGGGACACTTGTCTTGTCTTCAGTGTTGTTGAACTGGACGTTTGTAATGGACGCACATCTAGTAATCGAGCACTTGTCACGTAGAAAGCTACAGCAGCAAGAGATGTTGCCAGGCATGTGACGAAACATATTTTGTACTTGTAAGTCATAGTGGCCGAAGCTGAAACACAACACACTACAGTTACTCAAGAAGGTGTAAGTCAGGTAAATGCATATTAAACTTCATTTTCACATTCACTTAAATCATCTCATTGTCAAATGTCAACATCAGACACTGTCGTAATCCACTCCGATAGGACATTTCAACAGGTCAATCCTCCCTTTTGGGCAAATGAGAATGAGTGTGGTTTTACGCCACCTTTTAGCGATATTCCAGTAACATCTCGGTGTGTAAGGACACCAAAAACAGGCTTTGCACATTGCACTCATCGTACCCACGTCATCGAGCGAACGCCTTTACTACTTGGTAAGAACACCCCTTAGATTCATCAGCATCCACAGTCACTATAGAGTACTGATCCCAATTGGTAGGAAGGTGCTCGCGATTTTCTGGTCCCCATTTGAATAGCTGACATAGATTGTTATTGTCATCACTAGAAAAAGTACTGACTGACTGACTGACTGAGTTTAGTTTTACGCCGCTTTTAGCAATATTCCAGCAATATCATGGCGGGGGACACCAGAAATGGGCTTAACACATTGTGCCCATGTGGGGAATCGAACCCGGGTCTTCGGCGTGACGAGCCAACGCTTTAACCACTAGGCTACCCCACCGCCCCTCTAGAAAAAGTACTTGATTGACTTAACATAATCAATTCTAAACACTCCAAGAAATGTACTATAAATAATGTACTATAAATAATGTACTATGTAATGTACTTTACATATTTTCCGTATAAACAGTTTAATCATACTTGTACATGTTGATTTATTTGAATAAAGATGTTGTTCATCCAATCGGACTATGAATGTTAACCTATAACAACTTATACTCGGGAACCAGGCCAGATAGGGTAAGCCATGTTGAAAGTTTATCAGTTCGCTTTAGGTTATGTTTGGATAGATCAAGATTTCGGTGGTAATACTGTGTTTCCATAGGCCTTTCAGCAGCGATCTAAAGATTGAGGAACAGTGGAAAGGGAAGCTGTGTCTTGTTGTTATATATTAATCATGTCTAGTACCTTCAGTTCACTCTTGGATATTGAATATCTACTTCAGATAAAAACCTTATGGTTTTATCCCTAAATTCAAAGTGGTTATCAACATGTAGGTAAACAGAAGGTACAAAGGGTATTGATGGGATTATTTACGAAAGGTGTTTATGTAAACGATATAACGTGCCGATATGAATATCATGTTGGTATATAATTACAAATGGTATAAGTTACTTCAACAAAACTGCGTCATATGTTACGCACTGATCCTCTGTGTAATAACCTCAATCACAAATAATTGTATTTTTTCTTTCTTTTAAATTATGCATTCAAAATGCTGGACGAAACGTGCATAATGGGTCGCAAACTCCATGTGCTATGGGCCTCATTGTCAAATGTCAACATCAGACACTGTCGTAATCCACTCCGATAGGACATTTCAACAGGTCAACAATAAACAATAAAATGTCATTGTGCTTGTTAGTTTGAGTATAAATTATTCATAATACTTGTCAAATATCTTTTGTGGCGAAATATTGCGCAACTTCTTTGAATAAACCGTTCCCTTCGCCATTTGCAGATTTCTGATTTATATACCTAATTTCAGTTTTATAATTTAATATTGAAAGAGTTTGATCTTTGAGCACATGATATTATCATTCGACATTTAAATACAATGACCTCATGAAAACCTCTATCAAACACTCGCCGGCCGGCCAGCCACCCAGGTCAGTGTGACACAGTGTTCATCACGGAAGCAGACAAATATCGTCCATTGTGGCGACATCATTAACATCGTGCTATCACGTTGTTTTCATTATCAGCCAAATGACATATTTGACGCTGGAATCACATATTTGCACGTTTAGTAACTGGGAGGGTAATACATTGCTTGTTAAATTTAAATAAAAACCATCACTACCTTGAACAAGCAGTATTCATCCAGGTGTCCGCCAGCGAGATATATCCCTACATAATCACTTACTATCTTCAGCCGCTGAACCGTAGCCTTCTCTACCCGGCAGCACACCTTACACCGACAGTGTAACCCTATACTATTTGTAGACTTGCGCAATATTCTGCGCTTAAATCCACATACTATTCTCTGAAATAGGAGCCTTATTTTACTGTGAGTCAGTCGGTTCTTTTGATTTAATCAATGAATCATGAAGCAGGAATCAGACGCAGGGAAGTGTATATTGACATTACTGTTATTCTGCAGTCATAACATGCACAGTAATTTAACAGTTTTAGGTGGGATTCATAGCTTTTCCACACCATACATGTACGCCCACCACTGTTTCGTTGTCTTTGTGGCTGCTGTAGGTATATGTTAATATATAATATATTTTATGCATGATATTGACGTTAAATCTAACATTAAATCTATAAAACAAACTTAAGGTAACTAATGTTTATAGTTAGAATAGCAAACCAAACATTGCTCATTCATCTCGTTAGAATCATTTAATGAGCATCTATAGATTAAACTGGTTGTTATACATATAGGTCATACATACCTGTAGCTGGGCAAAGAAAATCAAAATATCATTAACAAATATTTATCTGCATGACATCTTTCCTTCTTCTAATTGTCGCCTCTCCTCTTCACATTAAATTTACTGGCAAAATATCTTACAGTACATCCGGGTTCCCCTCTTCTGTTTGTACAATGCTTCCTTTCCCTGAAACAAGATCAATTTGAATAGTAGCACTTGAATAAATACAAACAGTTAAATGAATGCTTATATGTCCAATAACCTCATGCACAGGATTCGTATTTAATTAATGTGTAATAAAATATATGGGGCGGTGGGGTAGCCTAGTAGTTCGCTCGTCATGCCGAAGACCCGAATAAAATGTGGGGAGCCCATTCCTGGTGTCCCCACGTTATATTGCTGTAATATTGCTAAAAGCGGTGTACAAATAAACTCACTCACTCAATACAAAATAGTCTAATGAAGAGTTGTCAATATACATTAGCACAAATTAGAAATTAATCATGGTTATATTTTTTCTTACATATCTTGAAAGGATGAAAGTACAGATACTAGAAGCTCTGATAACTTCTATTCCTGTTATTACCTACCAGAGGGAGGTGTTTGGGTAACACCAGCTACTGGAAGTGACACAGATGATAAACAAGTCACGCAATACTTTTCTGTGACAATCATCATCATTGTCACTATCATTCTCTATATCATATTAAAATGTTATTGCTCCAAACTTTTTAATTTCATGAAAGCATGTCCACTAACAGAATGCTGTTAATCGTTTTCTCACAAATAGCTGGTTGAAATGAATTTTGTAAAACAAACGTTTCTCACATTTATTCGAAACATGTTATCACTCAAATATCCAAAACGTATATATACAGGATACAATGGTAACAACATCACACTGATCGTCCTTTTTTAGCCTGAAGTGCAATCAGTAATTGGCAAACACAAAAAACATCTATCATATAATTCATGATATTACCAAGTAAAATGAGAACTTCAATTCAATTCTAAACAAGGTCCATGTAGATTTGTGTTATATAAATTGTACATGGTATTAACCCGTGAAGATCAGAGCTACATTTGATCTTCAGCAACCTATGACTATGGTAAGAGGCGACTAACGGGATCGGGTGGTCAGGCTCGCTGGCTTGGTTGACACATGTCATCGTATCCCGATTGCATAGATCGATGCGCATGTTGCTGATCACTGTATTGGCTGGTCCAGACAGATTATGGACAGACCGCCAGTATGGTTGTCTCCGAAATAAAAGCTACAGCCCAGTACCCCTACAATTAGTTAAAACAATATTTACTTGTCTGACATAATGACCTGAACTAAAGGATAGATTACAGGGTAGAGTATACAGTGTGAAATTAAGCTGCATAGAGTATACAGATGAGCAGGGAATGAGATTGTGCTGTTGTTGGTTGGGTTTTAATCATTCATTTTAAATAATTAAGATGACTTAAATGTTGAACTATTTCTTTTAGCCTCTGATGTACATAGTGAGTAGACAGATTTTGCAAATCCTAATAATATCAGTTGTAATAGTGCTGGAGATAAACTGAGATAAATAATTTGAGATGATTTGGGGTGGTATATACGAGGGGCGTTCAAAAAGTAGTCAGCCAGACTATATTCTCGATGTCCAATGTTTGAAAGGTTTCCATTTTATTTTGAAGCCATATCCAAAATTCCACATAGTTGGGATATGTGGTTAACGAGAAATCATTCATCACAACACATTGAGATACATTGTTTTATATTTCTTTAAAAAAATGCAGAAAATGAAAAACAGTGTGTCATTTGGTACCTTTTGGATAATGGTAGGCCCGAATATGTAAAATCAAGACAATATGTAAAAACTAACGCAAAACGTAAAAAATAACGCAATTCGTAAAATATTAACGCAATATGTAAAAGATGTCTTTAACGCAAAAAGTACAACACCTAACGCAAAATGTAAAAACAGTTTTTAACGTAATATGTCAAAAATAAAGGCAATATGTAAAATCCACTTTTAGGTTTGAATATTACGGGTGGCGATCGAAATCCATTTTTGTCACAAATTTGGCAAAAATTGACTTTATGTACAAAAACTAAGATATCGGAATGTTTCTTACAAAATAAACTTCATATTACATTTTTTTACAAAATTTTACCTCGTTCAGTATACATGTAAGCAGAGTCGATAAACATATAATTTCCTTGTATATAGAGATATTTTGATCGATCTTATAGTCTATTTTCGAAAGTTTTAAGGAATAATTTTATTCTTCAAACTTGTTTTCATAAATGGTATTTTGGGTTATATTCATTATGTCTTATTCAAAAAGGTTTGACCTTTCCTTCAAACTGTACATTCCGTTGCTGATAATCTGTGATTACCGAATTGGGTTTTTAAAGAAAACCACTTAATGATCCTTCATAATTTGGTTTGAAATAACATGCATGTTGTAGCAATGTTTCCAATTTTAATTCATTGTTCATGGGGGTTCGAATTAATTGCAATTGGTACTGGGCATCGAGATGGTAGCTCTGACCATTGGACTTCGGCCAAGCAACTGATCTAAGAGAGAGCGCCAATCGTTATGATTTGACTGTGTACATGAAACAACGATGGGCGGTTTAAGGGAATACTGGAATAGTTCCTACTTGCGTGCATCTTGAACCGCCATAGCTTCAAGTAAACCAACTCTCTCTCTTGCATGTTTGATGGATTCAGTTTTTTTAAACCTAAAACAACAAGTCATGTTACCCATTTACATCAATATTCCATATTACTTAAATTGCATCACATACAATAACTTTATTTCATTAAATTTGAGCGATCACCATCGGGATCCAGTCTCAAATGTCTCTGGTATTACTCGATTTCATTTGCAGCAATATTACCTGTGACTTGATTGAAGGAAATCAGATGTGATTGGAATGCAAATACCCGAATCACTGCGACGCATCTTGCATGTCCATTATACCTAAAACTGCAAGATGGATTTACCATTTCTAAATCAAAGATACTTGTGTCCTGCGACACATTTATACTTAAACAGTAATTTTCACATTTTGGAGTAATATAATATTTGTAAATACATCATCATATTTTCTCTAAAATTCATTCAAAGTGTTTCTGAAACAAATTCCCAAGTCTCTCGTAATTTCTATAGGGTGGCTCAAGCTTTTTATCAGTATTTGTAGCATTTCATTTGTGTATTTTGAGGTGAGATTAAAAAAAAATACTGCCAGGAAAATAACTAATACATTAATTCCATAAAGGAAAATATTTTGCTATTAATTCACCACTAATAGGACAAATTTGAAAACAAAACTGGTCTCTCAGCAAAAACAATGAAAAGAAAAAGAAAAAAATACAAAAACCCTATATCTGCAGAATTCCAAGTTGAACCTTGGTTACCGTACCCAATGCGGAGGGTAATTTTATGTCCCCAACTTTGCGCTACATGCGCGTTGTGGGATAAAAAAAAGGCCAAAAGGTAAAACCTCCTTGACTAGGACATAATGAATACAACACATATGACCATTTATGTAAAAATACTATGGAGAATAAAATGATTTCCTTGGATACTGTCGAATATAGATTATGATATCATGTATCGCTATACATGTATATTACACAATTATCGGCTTTACTTTGGTGTTAAACGACCCAAAAGATCAGATATCAATTAAGTCAGAAATGAGGTTAATTTCGTCAGACATATTGCAATAGCTTAGGTATTTTGAAACACAATAAAGTAAAGTTCTAAAAAAATAAATTTCAGCCGCCAAAACAATAAACAACAATAAAGCTGTATTTTACAGATTCCGTTAATCTTTTACAAATTGCGTTAAAAATTGTTTTTACATTTTGCGTTAGGTGTTTACATATTGCGTTAAAGACATTTTTGACATTTGGCGTTAATCTTTTACATATTGCGTTATATTTTACGTTTTGTGTTAAGTTTTTATATATTGCGTTAGTTTTTACATATTGTCTTGATTTTACATATTGGGGTTGTACAGGCCCTCAGATAATGTTTCTTGCATATTTTGTTTCCTGAAGCTTGTAATGCATGTATTGCATATTTTGCGGGTTTTTTGTTTTGTTTTGTTTTGGGTTTTTTGGGGGGGGTGTGGGGGTGTGGGGGTACCAAGATAAAAAAAATCACACAAAATGTGGATCGTGAGGCTGGGAGAGAAGAAAACCAATTTGCTTGAGGTTGACAGATAATATGTAGAAAAACATAACACAAAAACATATGACATGTTATGACACTATGATATTTGATGAAGTTAATGAAACCTCAAGTTCAATATTATTGAACTTTTGATAAAATATTTTTGTTATCATTCATTAAAACCATTATCTCAAACTCTTAGTTATTGCTCATTAAAATCATTCTCTTAATTTTTAAGTATTTGGCCTGGTCCATTGTATGGAATAGGTAACAGGCAGGAGATTAGCAGTGCACTGGACCATGCACATTGTTGTTATAAGCTGCAGGGGTTATGGGCTGTAGGGGTCTGGGGCCGGGGAGGTTACTAACAGTATAGCGCCAGTATTTCCCCCAAATCCTGGCTCCGCCCCAGCTAACAATACTTATTTTGT